TTCTAGGGCCAGACAAACCCCTCAGGCTAGACTCCCCGTAGCGGTAATTCATATAGGCGGGCGAAGGGCTCTTTAGCCTGGGCAGTGCCAACCGAATTTGTAACGGCTACCCCGAAATTCGGATGGCACCCAGGCTAGGGCTCTTGGCTGCTGAAGGAAAACGGCTAGCGGCTCGAAACGAGTTTGGCATCCAGGGTAGGTCTGAATTTAAGTTCGGACAGTGAAAACGGAGCTACAAGAATAAGTGTTGACCTTACCTCCCAAAACACGTCTTCAAATATTTGTGAGTGAGGGCGTTAACGTTGTTGGAACAAGTTTTTCTGCATTAGAAGTCTCCAGGACTGTTCTAATTTTTTGGTTGGGGGCGGAAAAGTACATTCCGATTTTTCACGTTCATTTTACTGAACTTACCGTTCCTGGATTTCCTCTTTTCTATCACCTGTGCATTTTCTGTTGCTTTTATTATATTCTCTTCAGTTAATAAAAATAATTAGGATCCGTATTTTAAGCATTTAACACATTTTATGAAAAGTCTAACTATTCTATTCAGAGTAGTTCTATGCCTGGATATGTTAGCATTAGGATCAGGCACGGTTCAGGATAATATCCAAGAACGTAGAGGTGCCCCGGGCACAGTTCTGGATACGCGTGGACTATCTAGAACCGTGTCTTGAGTGACGAAAGCTGCTTGGCCTGACCATGGTTCTGGACTAAACACGGTGCCAGATAAAAACAAGGGCCTTCCCTTCACTTAAAATGGTACAACCCTCCATCTGCTTAATGATCGGGTCGGTGTAAAAGTGCCAACGGGAAATTCCGGATAAATTACACACCAACGTGAACTTTTTGTTTCGCATAACTGGTAAATCGCCTTCAGGCGTAACACACCTGTAAGTACAAGCTACGTAAGACCGGACTGTAAGGTTTGAACCACTCACACCGGGAAGTCCCCTACTCTTTTCGATAAAGCCTTGGTCACAACCCGCCGTACGTGCTTCTGCGTGTTGTCTATGTGCAGAAACGTGGGCAAACGTAGGGCATCCGTGCGTGGTGAATACCTCCTCCGTACGGAATCCTACGGATTTGGGAGCACGCAGACACGCCGTAGAACTTTAAGTAATACTTTTTCTGTGTGCGGTCTGCGGATTCACCACCCGTGCGTGCGAGTACGGGCGACGCGCGTGCCCCGTACGTACCGTACGTAAGACGCACGTGTGAGTACGGCCTCCTTACGGTAAAGTTGCAATCGCACAGAGATCGTACGTTGTAAGCACGTACAACTCACTTACCACTTGCGCAACGAACAATGCACGCAACCGTTTACGGCCAGACGTGGCGTGCAGACCACACAACCGTGCGTCGATGCCACTTTTCCCCACGTTTTCAGAAAAACGTAGCAGACGTGGCCTCCCAAAAACGTACTGACAAAAACACGCACGGCGGGTTGTGATCGAGGCTTTATAGTAACAAAATTTCCTTATTTCTGAAGGACCGAAAATGTTTTTTTTCTGGGGGGGGGGCAAATTTTGGGTAGTAAAACTTTTGAGAGACTTTACTGGTTGTGTAAAAGAAAACTCCATATCACACATCATAACACTTCAAAGCTCGATGATATTTTAATGCACTATTTGGAATGACGAATTGACAATGAAAACTACATAGCGTTTAAGTAAATTCTGTTGGTAATTATAGTAAAATGCAGTGCGATGCTACATTGTATGATGTACTATTTGAATATTATATAGCTCCACTGTGTTTAGATATTTCTGTACAACGTTTTAACACTATTGTACATTTTACACGATTGCCCGTATAGTCAACTTGTGAAGTACAGTATAATGTACTGTTACCGACTTATAGGAATATTTGTTTAGTTAGTTTTGATATGTTAAGCAATACTGAATGTAAATCTTTTTCACACTTGTAAAAATACAATAATTGTGCATTTTGTACAGTTTTTCTCTGGAGTACTTTTAAATTACAAATTCTAAAGTACTTAATGTCATTTTTTCACGTTCCTTACAAAGACTTTTTGAAAGTTGGTGAAATGCATTAAATTTTGTGATGTAAAAATATTTGATTTATGAAACTTCGGAGGGTAATATCCAAACTTTTAATTAAAAAATTGGGGAAAATAAATAAATATGTTTTACGGGGGTAATTTTTTGGCACGAAGTTAATTGTTAACAAGGTTAGGGGGGGGGGATACAGGATATAAAAGTTCCTATCCTCACAATATTACCAAAACGGATTCCTAATTCTTGGAATGGGAAAAATTATCTAAGGTACCAACAAAAAATCGTAACATTGGCCAGGTGGGTCTTATAGAAGCTTGTATGCACAATTGAAACCGAAATCGTATTTTGTTTATATCTTAAGTTAAGTACAGCTACTTCAGTAAATTGATTGTGTATTAAACTGTTAATTACATTGTTATTAATATAGGGAAAAACAATTTTACGTGAGTTTCAACAAGTCAACAAGTTCTATATAGGAGCAACAACATATTAAAATTTGTTTGAACATACTCAAATAGCAAACAATGTTAAAGCTCTCTGTGCCACAATATAACAGCAACAATTAAAAACAATGAAATGACTTTATGATAGACATTATCATTTAACACAAGCAACAGTAAGTTTAGTTAATAACAGCAAAGTTATCAATAGGTTAGTAACTTAACATAAATATAGGTTAGCTGAAACTTAATGCTGATCATTCTAGCAGCTCCACTTAGACATTAAAAATAGAAATAAACTTAACAGATATGTAAAACTACTGCTAAAATTGCACAGTATCGAACATAATACATGTACATGTAACTAACAGCATTTTGTACATGTATGCTTACAAGACTTTGTATATATAATACTTAATGTAGCACTGGAATGTAAGATTAACAATATCGTAAAATTTTAGCTGACTTTTCATATTTCAAAAGCACCACGTATCAGAGGAAAAAAACAAAATTATTTTACTAATTATGAAGAACAATAATAAGTACTGTGAAGTGAATAATAAGTCATTATTGCAAATTTCATGTCAATTCTGTTTTCCACTGGCCCCCATAGCAACAGCATGCATACAGCAAGAAATTGAAGAAATTAAATATTTCTGCAACCTTTGGCCTGCCAGTGTCCTTGGAGTTTCTTGCATGCGGACATAATTATGGAAACACAAGCAAACAAAGAAACAGATACACTAAAAACTACAAAATTCATTTCAGATTTACGTGGAACTCTATACATCAAGTTGACCATCTAAAAAGTAAAAGAAGCCTCTGAAGCCTGGTAGAGGCTAACACAAAGCTGTGAACTTAGATGGGTGTTAGAGTTTTCTTCTGTTTGTCTGTGAGGTCAGGATGCCACATGTCGATAATAAGAATCATGCGGTAGGAGTCAGCCTCCTGCCAAACCTCGTGCTCGAAGGAGTCGTCAAAGATGAGGACTTTTCCTTCTTGCCATGTTCTGAAAAACACAACAGACCATAGACTGGATAGTGAGTGTGAGTGCTTTACTGTATGAAAGAAAAATGAAAATGTAACTATGTTTCCTAGCAGAAAAAGTATAATTGCAACAATATCATTTGCAACGTCTGAATGCAGTACTTGAATTCTAGAAGTTGGCACCTGCCAAATGCATTCACGTTAATCTAACATAGAACTTTTTGAGAACCCCATGTGATACCGTTAGTTAACACACAGTATCAACATCCATACCAAACATTATCATGGCCAAGGCATTACATAAATGAGTCTAAGATGGATGCCCCAGGGCAGGAGACTAAGAGAAAGACTGAAGGAAACATGGCGAAGAACCATTGACAAAGAAGTACGGAGCCATGGTTTCACTCTCGATGAGGCACCAAAGATGGCAGCAGACCGAGCCAGATGGAAGAGCTACCTTCTGCCTTAAGAACCACGCTGGCTCAGAAGAGGATTAAGAATTAAAGAAAAAGAAAACTACTGTGTCCCTTTCCTACCTGATGTCATCTGCCACCCGTAGCCTGGTGCCATTTTTAGGTATGACCAGTCCCAGATGCATGCGTAACCTGCAGTTAGTGGGGCCAGTGTGAGGCCAGACGTGGGTGCCTGGCTGCATGATAGAGTACTTCACCTGTGGGGAGAACAAAAATGTAGGAATAACAGATTTCACTACAAATATGGTGTTTCAGGTCACTCAAGCAAGATTGGCTATGGGGAGAAAAATGTAGAATTAGAAACTTTTAAAAATAATATTTGGAACTCGCTGTTTCCAAGTACACCAGATACAGATTTGCAATGCATTTACTTAATGTTTACCTTGACATGGTCTAGCCCAACAAACTACTGCTCTACTTATATACTACATGTACGTAGAAAGTTGGAGGGGCTGTTCCTCTTAAATTGGTTTGGTTTAAAAAGAAATTCATATATCTATGGTGACCAGCCCCTCTAACTTGCTATAATGCATAATCATCAAGCACCACAGGGTGTTTGCTACAGCACCAGTTACCATGGAGATAGATGTCTGGTCCAGGAGTTTAGAAGAAGAAGAAACTGAGCAAATACCTGTCCCCTGGTGCAGCCAGTAGCATCTTTGATGAAGCTGATGATGGAACAGGTTTCTGGTGCTCTTTTGCAGTTAGCTTCCTGTTTCTTACCTAAACACATAATTTTTAAAAAGTTGTAATAAGTGTAAGAAAAACATTGACAAAGGTTAGACATCCAGATAATGAGATATACAAGATAACAGTTACAAATTATTATCACTGGATAGATTCTTAAAGTTTTCTGAAATTTGAATCTATAAAAGCAAACACTCTACCCACTAGGTTATTGCACTGTTTTTATTCAAACTCTTACCTGTAAAAATAGATCCTCTATAAATAAAAGATGATCCCTTACCTCTCTGATATTATAATAGTGAAAGTACCTCTCTGAAATAGTGTAAACTGTTTCCAGTCTCCAGTGTTCTTCAGGTTCTCCTCCTCTGGCAGAAAGACTCCCTTCTCAGCGTCCATGTTCTTCAGACCTTCGGCTCGAATGATACGCCAGCTACTCTCAAGTCTCTGCATATGCACCAAAATAAAACATATCAATCTGTCGCTTTGTTGCATAAAGACCCAGTCTTATTCGTTTTATGCTGGGATGGAAATACCACCTGTATATGCAGGTTAGTGCAGGTAAAATTGGAGCTGTGCAGCTGTATTTCTGATGTCTGCCTGCACCTGTTTGTTGGCATCTTTCTGTCTCGAGAGACATAGGAGTTCACGCCATGGATATTTTGCACTGATCCATGCTAAAACCAGTGCCAAGAACTGTATTGCATTTTTCAAAATAGCAATGGAGATCATTACTAGAGACAAACAAACTGCAGTGTTCTACTTGGTAAAACTTGTCTGGTGCAGGCGATTTTGAAATTATGTATGCAGAAAGTATGCAGAAAAAGGATTTCAATCCCTGGTCGTACAATACAAACAAAAAAACACAAAAGGCAGTGAAAGATTAAAAACAGACACCTACTTTAACAGCACGGATGAAATTGTCTCCCCCGTCCTCCGGTGTCCAGAAGGGCTGAGCTCGCAGGTTGGGCTCGTTGTACAGCGATCGCTGGTACATTGACGCAAACAGGCCCCGGTCAGCTCCATTCTTGTACCAGTACTTTGCCTGAAAAAAATGCAGGGGATACACAGATTATATTAAAAGTTCATCTGTAGTTCTGTACTCTTGGTAGAAGTCATTATGAAGCAACTTAAAACTCATTTGAATGTGAAATACATTCAATGAATGTAGAAAACATTTTGTTTACCGAAGGAAAACACATTGTTTTTGCTCTGTTTCTTCCTCTTCTTCTTCTTCTCCAAACACTAACCTCTGACCTGGCCAATGCTGGCCAACGCTGGAAAAATAGTAGAAATTGGCCGAAATAAAGGGATAGTATACCAGAGAAGATCCCGGGCCATAGAAGCTCCAATTTGCGACCCACGG